AAGTAGACTGGACATAAACCACACACTTGAGGTGTCATTGTCTCCTATTACCCCGAGATGGGACCGTCTGGTTGCAGAAAATCAAGCTCGGTGCTGTGGTGAGTCGTCATTTTCATGCACTTTGAATTTGCGTTGTATCGTATTTTGAAGGCATTAAACATTGCTATAGCGATCGGAGTGTTGCGGCCAGATTAGACGCTCCTTGTGTTTATTATTATATTTCGAAAACGCCACAGTTTTCATGCAGCTCATACCAAATTATTTTGTTGTATTATTTCCGCCACACCTTAATTGCCGGTCCCTGAAAATATTGTCTGACATAAACCGGTCCGTGGGGCAAAAAAGGTTGGGGGCCCCTGGCTTAAGACACGGGTGTCAAACTCATTTTTGAGTTGCGTCTTCCCTCGGAGGGCCGTTCTGATGTTGAATCTCATTATCGCATTCTTACTTGTCAGGGGTAACAAAACGTATTGCAAAATCTCAAGGTCATTTATTACACATGACAATTTGACATTTCGGTACTTTTTTTTTTTGAGCAAGGATCATGCAAGTTGACACACATGATTTTCTTTCGGGGGAGGGCCACATAAAATGATATGGCGGGACAGATCTGGCCCCCGGGCCTTGAGTTTGACACCTGTGACTTAAGATATCATTGTCGATGAATTTCATCCAAAAGGGTTTTGCATGATTTGCAATATATGTCTCACCAAAAAAATACGTCATGACAGCGTTTGTGTGAAATCTGACTAAATGCCTTTGCAAAGTGGCTCTGAAAAAAATATTTTGTTCAGAATTTTTGTGAGACGTCATACGATGTCTCACATTTTTTTGTACAGAATCCTCGATACAAAAACTGACTTTTGGTGATCAGTCGACCGAAGCAGAACCACAAACATCATTTGACCGAACGCTAAACTCTACAAATTCTCTCCTAGATCACAAGCAAGTCGATCCAACGAGCAGTTCCGGAGTTCACTTTGCAGCACTTTCAGGTGAGAAATATGGACTTTTTCCAGCTCATCCAAACATCTGCTCCGGTTGATGAAGGTTGTTTTTGTATTCGCAGCCGGCAATATGAAAAGGCAAAGTGAATGTTGCGCCACAAATGAGGTGAAGCAAAATAATTCGGGGCGCTCCGTGTTGCCGGGTGCAAAGCTGCTGTTTGATTCAAACACGGCGCGTGTACTCACATTGATCGATGCTCTCGGCCGCCTCGACCCGCTCCTGCAAACAGAGTGCGCACACACACACACACACACACACACACACACACACACACACGCACACCCACACGCACACACACACACACACACACCAGGGTTGTTATTACAGAGACGGTTAATACCCCCCCCCCTCCCCGAAAAAAAAGGATGACAGGGAGCCAGGAGGTGGGCAGGTAGGAAGACAATGACCGCATCCAAGATTCACTTTGCTCGCTCTTAATTGGACCGCTGGCCACACGGGCAAACCCCGCCCCCCTTCCTCACGTTTTCAAACCGGAGTTCCAAAAAGTGCAGATAAATGAACGGCTCTCTGTCTGCTGTCTGACTACTTTGCCAAAAGAGAATCAATCAACATGGACTATTTTCACCGAGCGAATCCATCTCCATCCCGTCGCGGGTCCCCCGATGGCGTTTACTCCAAACGTCAGGGCCCCGCTCTTATCTAATTCGTCTGGGCTCCGACGGGCTTCCTAATGAGCTCAGCCAAACGGAGTCAAAGGAGAAGCGGCGTTGAGTGCAAATATCTCCACGAGCATCAACAGATCAATGCGTGGCGCGGGAGAATTACCCACCAAAAATATGCTTCTTCCTTTCTGGATTTTCACAAGCTGTCCAATAACATTTGCCCATCATTTTTAGAGATTGATGGTTGGAAGATCCGATGGAAAAAGTGGTGGTCGGGCAATCCGTGAAAGAACCAATTTAACGCTTGAGCCACTAAGAAATAAAATGGGCTGATGATCCATTTTGGTCCTTTCATCGTGATCTACGTTTACTGCCAATTATGACAATTAGAGCACAGGCTATGATTGCGCGTTTTGCTGATTCTACCGCGCAACATTGGGCCAACTCCAATTCCCAAGATGGCCGAACCCATCAAGCCAGGGTTTGTAGGCTGCGTCCTCCGAAGGACCTGTCGCAAGCTGGGCCCCTCGAAGGCTCCTCCTCTCGTTTCCTCCGTGGACCGCGTCAACCGAATTTGGACACGGACGAGCAAGTGTCCGTTGACTGACTTTTATAGCGGGTGAGCCATGTTTGGTGCTCCGAATGGTCTTATGTGGATAGGTTTCTAGTTCTGGGTTTTGCAGTTTGGCTTGAGAGGACTCGCAGTTGCTATAGCAAGCAACATTTTTTTTTTTTTTGGTTTGTTTTTGAGGGTTTTTTGAAGAAAAACACTTCTATCATCCGTGCTAAGCTTTAGCTGCTCGTGGTCAAATTCGAGGTAAGTGAGTGTTTAAGTAGATAGCGGGTCACATTCGCAAGCAAGTGCAAAGTGCACTTGGTTGCACCGCGTGAAAATTAAAAGCCGGGATGCGAAATGAGCAGCGATGAGGTCGGACACCTCCGAAAAGGAGAACCGTTGCATCTGGACCGGCCGCTTGAACGCAGCCCGCTCCTCCTGCCATTTCCCCAACCCGACACTGCCACGCCATTTTAACACGGCAATCGCCCGAAGGGCAACGCTGGGCTGGCCTCAATTTCGCTCCAGGTGAGAGCTCATCAAGCGAGGCTCGACGGTTAGCTCGGAATAAACGCGCGAGAGGTGTGAGGAGGAGCCCGAACCGGGGTTACGGCCGGCCTGTTCAATTGAATTATAGCCCAGGGAAACATATCGCATCTTTCAGAAAAGTCGGGCCAAAGTGTTGGATTACCTTACAAACAATCTTTGAGGTTTTTTTTTTTTCTTTTTTAATTTTAGTTGGGTCACGCAAAACCCCCAAACTTTTAACTGCAGATTTTGGACTTCTAAGACTGTATGTCACCGGTGTCAAACTCAAGGCCCGGGGGCCAGATGTGGCCCGCCACATCATTTTAAGTGGCCCGCGAAGGCAAATCAAAGATGACACTTTCCATGACACTTGCTAAAATGTGGACCAACATTTCAACTTTTCATCTGTAATAAATCGGTGATATATTGTGAGCATTTTCTTGTGACCAAACCCCACATTATAGTTACTGAAACAATAATTGAATAAAACGTTATTCTTGACTTCTTTAGGTATTTTCAGTCATCACGGCTGGCCAAGGGAAACGGTAATTATAATGTGGCCCGCGACAAAAATGAGTTTGACACCCCTGCTGTACGTCATCGTACACAAACCAAAAAAGTAGACGACCAACAAATGGCCCAAAACATGGTTGCATTTAACGGAATATAGATTTTTTGGGGGGGGGCAGTTTCAGCCATGGTTAAAACAATTACAAAAAAAAAAAAGATTTCGCAAAAACATGGTGGTCTATAATTTAGATCAATAAGTTTGAGGAATCTGCAGCCACTTTTTTTTTTTTTTGGCAGATGGAACCGTTTTCAGCTCCTGCAGAAACAAAAATGCAACACTCGATCATCTTGACTTCATTCCCCGTGAACAAGAAAGTCGTGCGCCAACATATGGGTGGAAAACCGACAAAAATAGCTCTGCGGCGACACCGATTCATTCCTTTATTAGACCGGCCGCCATGAGAAAGGGGAAAGACCGTCCGGCGTCATCCAGTGCTGTCACGCGGACTCTCTCAATTCCCATAAAACCTTCCCGCCAGATCAACGCGGTGTAAAACCTCCAAGTTATTAAGCATAATCAAGGTGCTGCATAGGTCGAAGCGCTTTGATTAAAAGGGGGCCCGTCGCATTTCACGCTCATAAAACGCCGCTTTGCTTTGCTTTGCTGCGAGCGCCGACGACAAACATTGCCCGACGTCAGAAATCCTTGGGAGACAACCGAGTCGGTTCTCGTGCCTCACCTTCACTTTTATGTGTTCGCCGCAGAATTACGGCAAGTTTATAGAACGGCCTGCCGTAAATTCTGCATTAAAGATAATCACGGTCGTGAGCAATAGCTCCCGTCTCAGTACTGCGCACGATAACAAAAACAATCATGGATATTTTATACCACAGAAAAAGAATGCACGTTGCGCGTGGCCGGAAATAGCCACAAATAAGCTAAAAGGCGAGAAAGATCCAACAAGGCCCGAGATTTACGCACGGAAAACGTTCATGAGTTGTTATTTACCGTGGACGGCGTTTCCAAAGAAGTCGGCGGGATGCCGGCTGCATCCACGTCTCTCCGGTGCCCTCCGGCCCAGCCGCACCCGAACAGGGCGGCCAGAACCGGAAACCAAACAGCAAGGCGGCCCATCGGCGGCTTTCCTGTGAGAATCGAGAACACTTCGATTAGTCTCTTGCGTTCTGCGTGGAAATTAGGGAATTTCTGCGGCGATGAAAATTGATGGAAGCGAACCTGCAAACACTCCAACCCGAGTATCGTCGCTTTACACATTCAGTCCTCAAGGTCAGTTTCATTTTGCTGCATGAAATTTGGTCAGCGTGTCAGTCATAAGGAGACCCACAAAAAAAAAAGTCTCAACAAGGCATGTCCGAAAACACAAATGTCGACCTTTTTGGTTTGTAACGGCCCTATTGGGATCATTTTTTTAATTCAGCCCATTCAGCCAGTTTGATTTAACAACATGTGTAGGCATGTAAATCACAAGTAAAAAAAAAAAAAAGCATTCCCAAAAGTAGCGAGAAAATCTTTTTAAATTGAGGCTCGTGTTGGCAATTTCCAGTGGTCCTTGAAAGAATTCAGCCCCCGCAGCCAGTTTCACTTGGCAAAAGGAAATTCGATAGGCAGGTGTGCCAGCAATAGACAAAAAAATAACAAAAAAAATGCCCTAACAGCCAATTTGATTTGAAGCAGCCATTCTAGGCTCATTTTGATCAATCGTCAATTTGGCCCGCCTTTCCTGTTGGCTCAGCACCAATCCCACAAAATTGCAATCATCCAAGAAATGGCGAAATGAGTACTAATCAGGAGACTTCCAAGACGGGAACAGGAAGTGACCGACTCCCTCTTTCCAGGAACTGCCGCCGATGCCGTTCGGCAGCTGTAATTCGCCACCAGGCTGACAGGTGCTCGCTCACTCTTGAAAATGAAGTGGCAAATGAGATCTGCCAATCACTGTCTGCTCATGTGTGAGGCACACGCGCACGCACGCCACTTCAAAATTCATTTGAAGGCAGCGAGTCAATGATGAAATTTTATTAGCCCAAGGCATGGACATCAAAACTTCAAAAATATTGACTTTCTTCATTTTGGGATTGTTTACCTTGAACGAGGAGTAAGATTTAAAAAAAAAACAAAAATCACATGGGAATATATTTGACATGCCTTTAAGATGTCTCAGCTTCTTACAGTCTTAGTGCTGACATTTTTTATTTTTTTGGGGTCATTGTAAAATATTCATTCGCTACCCTGCAAAGGTTTTACAGGGAGCGCACGGAAGGTCGCGCACACACACGCGTGAACAGCTCGTTGCTCACTGCACGTGTGGTCTTGTTCAGCCGCGACTGAACACTTGCGAGCGTTACAAAACTCACGCTAGTTCTAGAGAAACTATGACATCAGTTGGGAGCCCGCAAAGCCCGTTTTACTTTAACATAAAGTTTGGTATGCACGTCTATCAAGAAAAGACCCACAAAATTTTGCTTTATTTTTATTTTTTTTTCCCCCGAATCGCGCAAAAATGTTCTGCCTGGTAAGAAGTGACTCTACAAACCTGACGTAACCAGCTAAGATCAAAGTTGCTCGATGGCTGCCACTGTATATGATTTTAGTGGTTTAATAATGTTGTTCGGTAGATTAAATTAGAAACAAGAAAGTGCTGCCAAAAAAACGTACTGTAACCTCGAAGCTGCGCCAGTTCACCTTCCTGACAGGAAATAGAGAGACAGAGGAGAATGGAGTTTAAACACTTTGACTTCGATGTGACAGCCTTGCACTCATCTCATATCAGCCCCCTGGATTCATCTTGAGCTTTTGGCAGTGGGGAAAAAAAATAAATAAAATAACGCAAAATAAGTGACAGGTCAGCGTCAGCCTTAGTATCGTGTGTTCTATACTCCTGCTTATCTTGCCCTTGTCGCACATGAGCACTGGAGGTTTTTTTTTTTTTTTTTTTTTTTTCCCGGGGGGTAGGTGGAAGGGTGGAAAGATAAGGTTCTAAACTGTCACTCGACGTAATGGAAGCGCCGGCGTGGCACGTCGGCCCCTGGAGGACGGGCAGAAAGTTGACGTCGTGTCAGTTGAAAGCACTGACAGTGGCTGCCAGAAGAGATTTTCGAGATCGTGATTTTGGTTTTCCTTTGATCTGTTTAATATCAGGCTACTTTTCATGATTTACCCCTTCAAGGAGTTTGGTGCAGAAAAGCTACAGTATTTTTTTATACAGTAGATGTTTCACTCAATAAACCTAAAAGTGGGAGTGGGGGGGTGTCAATAATTATTATTTTCTTATGTCGACTTCCCGTTCAATGCCGGGCACGGGTTTCTGAGCCTTTTTTTTTTTTTTGTCCTGTTATGATTGCTTATCGGTGAAACTGCCATTGGGGGCTAACTTTGATTAACTTTCCACGGTTTGCTACAACAGAGTAACTTTCACGGTAGGTCGTAATTGAGAAACCTCGAATCACCACGAAAATTGGTGACTTCCCCAGCATGTTAAGGCTCTCAAGAAGCCCCCCAAAAAACAAAACACAACAAAAAAACATAAAGCAACACCAAGTCATTGAAATACATGGAAAAAAAAAAAAAGCGTGACGCAGCGAACATAATTATTCGTTTGACTCATGCTCCGCCACCCACGCGGAATACAAAAGGATGCAGTTCAGGTCTAGCTCAGCAAGGCCGCATTTTCTTATCGTCTGCCTGAGAATTCATTATCGCCTGACCCTTTGTGCCGCCGCCGTCATAGCAGATGCAGCTTAAAGCAACTCGACAGGGGAAAAAAAAAAAAAAAGCACAGTCCGTCTCTTCTCCAGAGAAGAATAAGTAGCTCCCGAGTTGCACCATTTTATTTTTCCACGCCTCATCGACTCACGCTTGACTGCTCTTCGCCGAAATTTTAGCGACTTAGTGTGGGACGTGTAAGTCGGAGAAGTTGGCGTTCCTCAGGGGGACTCGGTCAAGGGAACATCATGAGGAGGGCTAAATCCAGGATTCCCCCAGGAGGGATAAAGACTGCGGTAGCTTGCGGGGTCTATGGAGGGCCTGTACTGTACCACCAACTGGCAGTGGTGAGCGCAGGAAGCTAACGTAGCAACCGTCAGCATTGATTAGTGACTCGAATGTATGACAGAAGTCTTTTTTTTTTTTTTTTCAACATAAGACAGTCGACACTAGCTTTGGCTGAGAGTCGCAAAACAGGAAGTCGAAATTGAACATACTTTGAAACAATGGCGGCGCTAGTACTTTGACAATAGAAATGGTCAAAATCGGAAATCGATCCTTGGAAAAAAGACCGTCCGGATCTATGTCGTGTCAACACAACGCCGCTCACTATACCTTCTTGGCCACTTCTCTTGACGTACATTTAGATTCCGGTTACTAGCTAGCCGTGTGAATGTTGGCTTAGCATCGCATTTAGCATGGTTTCTCCATCTTTTCTTATAATCCCTCAGTTAGTATGCTACGTGTCAGAAATTTAGCTTGTTTATCTTATTTAGCTTCCCTCGACTACCTGCGGTAGGTGATGCGAGTTACATACAATGCTGCTAACTACCCTTACCGCTGCTCACATTAGCATTTTTAGTATTTTGTGTCTATAAAACACTGATTCTTACATAATTGTTGTATATAATGCTTTTTCCAAATACTACGCCGCTAACGAGTCCTGCTGCTATTGTAAAACGGGAACTACCCCCAATGCGGAAGAAATCAAGGCTTATTCTTGTCCGTTCTAAACACAGAAAATATCCACACAAAATGGCATTTGACTACATGGATCCAATATTTGGGAGGCAACCTTTCCGTGAACGTCTCCTCCATGTTTTTTTCCGCGCTCTTGGTCACCCGCCTGTTTGCCCCGAGCCGCTGGAGCGGGCCGAGTCAGCAAAGGTCATTTGCGGAAGTTCAACATTAGTGAGGAGAATTTCAAGTGGCTTCAGGGATAACGGCGGCACAGCGGGCGGGTGGAAAAAAAGTCACCAGTATCCCTGTGGTCCGTTCAGAATCATTATTATTATTCAAACAAAGTGCTCGGGCAGGCCTGTCTGGGCATAAGGGCGTGTGTGTGTGTGTGTGTGTGTGTGTGTGTGTGTGTGTGTGTGTGTGTCCCTTTCAATTTCAATATCTCACAGCAGGCTCATCACGGTGTGTCGCTAAACAGCGTGACTCACCATCTGTAATTTTCTTTTGTGTGTGCTATTGTTTTTAACGCTGTAAATCTGAAGTAAATGAGCATAACAAGCTGCGGGAGAAAAAAAACAATCAAACATCATTTCCACACAAATGCAGTATGCATTCATACAGTGCTGTTTTTTTTTTTCCCCCCCAGGTGTTGCTCCAGAACAATTATGGCAGACGTCCTGTTGAATTTCGAGCGTGTCTTGAGACGGTAAGATCCATTCATTATCCACTAAGAAATTTCGTGAAAGGTAGACAACCGCTTGCCTCAAGTGTGTTTTTATCCACAAACATTTCTTGAGGAATGGCTCTGTACAGTCCCAGTGCGTGTGTGCCCCTTTAAATGTCAATACTATCTCGCGCCAGGCTCATCGAGACGTGTGGCTAAACAGTGTGACTCACCATCTGTAATTTTCTGTGTGTGAGTGTTACTGTTTTTAAAAGTAGCAGGGCTCATTATATTCAGTCCCCCCCACACTTTTTTTTTTTTTTTTTGCAAAAAGCCCGACAAATCAAAGTCAGGAAGAAAGCAGTGAGAAAGTAGACTTTGGTCAACCCGAGGGGATAACTTTGCTGTTTGCTCCACATTAGACTGGGAAACGTGATGCATCATCACTGATAGGAAACCCTTTCAAATGTATAACGAAGCATCATTTTGACTGGCTGAGTTTGAATATGGACCGGGGCACATCTTGGCTGGCGCATTTCGACTCGGCTGCAAGGTGTGTAAATAAAAGATGAGTTGGACAAGGAGAAAACTGGCTTGCCATCATCTCGGGTTGCTGCACGAGCTGCTGCGCCGTCGTCCTCCATCAAAATCAACAACCGAGCCGGGATGCATAACGCGGGGGGGTGGAACAACAATACTTTTACTTTTTTAGTTCGAACGGGCATGTAATGTGCTTTACAAGTTGGGGGTGGAAAAGGAGGAAAAATAAGTCACAAAAGTCATGTCAGCAACTTTTAAGGCGGCGCTCTGAGCACAAGATAACAGATCAACTGCTCATGTTCATTTCTTGATCATTAGTTGCTGCGCTGAAGCCTAAAAGGACAGGGAAATGTGGCAGGAAAAAGAAGTCACCCCAACTTTGCATACATAACAAGAAAACTATGTAAAAGAAACAAATGTGGTCTTTTGTCAGATGGATCACTTTAAATAATTCCTTTTTGTTGTTGTCAGTTGCCCGGCAAAAGTCATGGAAGAAAAAAGCTAAAAAAGTGAAATCCGGTGGGCACAGGATGTCACCCAATTTCAATAAATCAATCAAAAATTAAATAAATAAAATAAAATGTCAAACTTTGTTAATTCATTTTCCTGATGATATCATCTGTCACTAAGCAGAGGTGTTACGGTTCTCCGAAACAGGGCTCCACTGCCCTACATAGCAGAAAAAGGACAGGGAGAGTCGACACAAACAGCAAGTCACCCAATTTAGGTCGGCCGAACACTGAGGGAACTGCAAAACGTTGACACTTTAGTGAAAACAAACGTTGCAGCCAGAAATATTCTGATTTGTTTTCTTGGTCATGGTCACCTGTTGCTAGGTAGAATTCAAATGGCTGAAACATTAGCGCCCTCACAAACATAGCAAAGTTATGTATATGCCAGTCGAGGTCATTTATATTGTATCCTTGGCATCCTGGGGCACTGCCCCACTGAGCAGAAAAAGGACAAAGAGAGCCAGCAACAAGAGAAAGTCACCCATATTAGGGGAAGACAACCCCCCCCCCCCAAACATTCAGTCGAAACAGCCTCTTGATGCGAGCTTGTGTAAATGATGCGCTTCCTTGTTGTGTTGCGTGGCACAAACTGTGTCTCTCGTTTATCAAGAAAGCATCTCGGGAACACACAAAAACAAAAACACACACGCACTGCCAGCGGTTACAAAATTAACAAGAAACAAAATGCCATTTTACCGAGGGCGCAGCGTGAGCCGTCTGGAGAAATGTCGGATAATGTTATGTAACGATGCACATCTGACAAGAGCGAATTCCAATCCAATCGCTTACCTCCGCCAAGGGAGAAAAAAAAAATCTTGCACACACAACAAAATCCGTTACACAGAAATATATATATATATATAACTTTGCTATATATATTTCTGTGTAACGGATTTTGTATATATATATATATATATATATATAGAGAGAGAGAGAGAGAGAGAGAGAGAGAGAGAGAGAGAGATCTAGCTCTCTCTCTCTTTATGTGTGTGT